ATCCTCCTAAGAATCCTTCCCAACGTGTGACCGGCCAAACCTATTAGTTTTGTCAGCTTCGGTACGTTCTAGCTGTTGACAGCGCCTATACTCCACCGCACTTAGCTCTACCTTTAGGGTAACCCACCTTACTCGAGATAGCTGTAGACTCCCTCCCCACCCGATCGTTGATACCGATAGGTGCAGGGACATTATGCGTCTCTCTTTGAAAGCCACCAAAATTATTGATCGTTGCTTTCAGCAGCCTTCTTATCTTGCGAGACCACAAATTATTCAAGCCTTTCTGTGAAGTCATAGTTGCAGCCTATTTTGTCATAAACGGTTTATTACCAGCCCTTTACATCCGATCCATCCATCGGTCAAAATATCAAATACATTAACGCGTCGTTTCTGTAGGTACTTTGTCACCGTAGGTTACGACAAAGCAATCGATCTATTGTGTTCCTTCCGTCACACCTGCCAGTTATTTCATTTGTAGCTGATGTTGCCAAACGGTCGACAGTTGATCCTAGTACTAAGAGAAACTATGTCGTTCTAAACTTTAACCTTGCTTGTTTGAAAGCATGAAACACGATGACCTCTACGATACCATCACAGTTGGTTACCGCGTTCTTTGCTCCACGGTGGGGTGAGAATGTCAGTTCGCAGCGACCGGCTTGTTGTTTATTCGATGTCGCCATGGATTCAATCTTGTTCTTCCAAGGGATTAATGTGGAGATCGGTAGGGTCAACAATCCCAGCAAGAAATCTATGAATAAATGTGGAACTTCTGAAGCTGTCTCCCCCGGATGAGAGTGCGAGTGCAAGTAATGGTCACTCTTGCATTAAAAATAGAGAATGAACATGAAATCTTCTACGACGTGATGGCCTTTCCCCTCATACTTTACGGAAAGCTCGTCCATTTTGAACATTTCTCGATCTAGTAGAATCACCAGTATCAACGAGGTAGTGGCTTAAATGTTGTACAGCCACCATATAACAGCTTTGTCATGCACAACTCCTTTATGTATAAGATATGCCCACATGTGGAACCAGTAACCAGCTATCGCCAAATCCTCGACCACTTTGGCACAATTTCGTTCTCGTTTGAATGATATTGAGTTTACAGGGTGTCAGTGTATGAACTGTATTTTCTAACTCAAATTTGTAATATTAGGGCTAGTTGCTCTTACGAATATTTTATATTTTATATTTTAATTTTGAATTTATCTTAGCGAATATAGTAATTGTAAGCAGTAATGTTAGTCGTGTGTTTTTGGCATGAGCCCCTGGCTCGGGAGATTGGGCAACCACTCCCTACGTTTACGACTTAAAACTGGAACTTACTTTGGCTTTCCAGGCGACTGATTATCGGTACTAAGCAAACAGGCATTTACATAAGCACTTTTCCTAATGCTCTAACTTCTAAAAAGGCTCAAAATCATGAAATAAG